AACGAAACAGTGAAAAAACTCACTAAATTAGAAGTAAAGGGGAAGTTCAGGGAACCCCAATTTTCCGAAAAATGTCAAGGGAAAACTACTTTGCTAAGGGTTATGAGGGAACAGGGCAGGCTCTTTCTGGGAGTAGGATGAATCTGTAAAAGAAAATAGGTAACTGAGTACGAAGCGTCATTGTAGTGCACTAGGGGATGTCCGGTGACGGAAGACCTGAGGTGAGGCCGGCAGTGGGGGTAGAGCCACGACGTCCCAGCGGCCAGAACGGCATCCTGGTCGGGGTTAACAGAGAGAGAGACCGATTAATTTTCTCAGCGGTTGGTCAGACAGGGCATCGTTTTGGTCTAACAAATCTATCATGTGGCCCGTTGTAAGGGGCAACACGTGCTGCACACAACCTGCTTCGCTCACAATGGACCTCGTTTTTCGCAGAGGCAGATGGTGGATCGGTTCTATCCTAGTCGGGGAACCATACAGACCATATTAAGGAGCATCTGACCCTAACCTTCAATCCAGCAGTCAGTCACTCAAAGCACAGGACACAGATTGCTAAGTCTATGCTATATCGTCAGTTAGCGAAATTCCAAGCCGCGTCCCTTAGTGCGTCGTCATATATTCAATCGCATTAAACTTATCATAGTGGTGAATGACCTGAATTGCCGTGGAGATAAAGACTTCAGATTCGGCCTCACTCCCTCTTATCCATCCTGTGCCCCAGTCGACTGTTTGAACCTGTCAGACATCTGGTGTTGGAATTAGGCTCCATTCCAATAGTCACTGCGAATGCTTCTGAGACTATCCCATTTCCTGTGACGCACGCCATCATCCCGTCTCATCGTGTGAGTGAGCACTCGGAGCATCCGGATTTCAACAGGCTTGTCGCGGTTCGCAGTTTTAAAGGATTTTTCGAATTGAAGAGTTTGCTTTGCATTTTCTGGTACTTCTGTGGTTTAATTCAGAATGTATAAGGGAGATAGGTATGGCCTTTGAAAACCCTATTTACAGATATAGACTGAATAAACGCACATGTGTTTACGTAAATATACGGGTACATAATGTTAGTTCTTATCAAACAAATACATGGCCATCATATAAAATTTCTCAACGCTTTCTGCCAGAACAACCGAATCAGGTAGTTTTTTTCCAATCCTCAATCACCCGGTGGGAGAAAAAATTCGCCCGCACTTCAAGTTTGGCGTACTTTGTCTTCCTTTGCCGGTGCGCCTAACGTGCATTTGTTACAAAGTCATGGAGAGAATAGTCAAAAAGTCGTAATAGAGATCCTTGAAAAAAATAATTTCACTGCTGGATCCTAACATGGATTTCGACGAAATCACTCCTGTCTCATTTATATGCTCAATTCAACGGAACAGTGGTCCCGCTCGTTGGACGAAGGAACAAGGGTCGATATCGTTTACATCGATTTCAATAAAGTATTTGCTGGTGTTCCCCACCACCGCTTACCATACAAGGTCCGAGAGTCAGGGATAAGGGGAAACCTATTACCATGGGTAAAGGACTTTCTGACTGGTCGATCACAAACTGTGTGTATTGGTAGTACGAAGTCAACACCAGTGCCAGTTGTGAGTGGAGTTCCCAGGGCTCTGTATTCGGACCATTTCTGTTTTTAATTTATGTCAACAACTGTACGAATGGACTGGACTGCAATGGAGTCATGTTAGCCGATGACATCAAGTAATGGCGAGCGATTAACGGGGAAAATGATGAAAGGGGCCCTGCGAGAAGGACTGAACCGCCTATGCGAATGGTCTGACAAATGGCTGCTGAAGTTTAACCTTGAGATGTGCACCGCGCTGCGGCTCAAAACGAATGGAAGAGCCGATGGAGAGGATCACCATTACCTGCTTGGGGGAAGATGCCTTTCAAATGTAACCGAATAAAAAGATCTTGGGATCAACATTTTGTCCACTTTCAAGCCTTCCTCTCAGTGTGTTAGGGCAGTCAAAAGGGCAACCAATGTTCTCTTTGCAGTAAGACGAACTTTTCTAGGCATAGACAAGGAGTTATTTGGAAAAGTATACGGAGCGTTCATTCGTTCGCATGTGGAATATGGAATTCAAGCCTGGCGCCCGTGGCTGAAGAAAAACTATTAGTTGCTAGAAAGAGTTCAGAGGAGAGCGGCAAAAATTGCGAAAGGCCTCAGGACTTTACCTTACGACTGCAGACTTAGTGAAATTAGATTTTTTCCTCTTGAGTACAGGCAGATTCGAGGAGATCTCATACTGGCGTATCGGATTTTGAGGAATTGGGACTTTGTCCTAAACCTCGACGATTTCTTCCCCCGAGCCACAATAACAAACCTGCGTGGGAACTCTCTAAAACTTGGAGGATCCCGATGCCGCCTGGACGTTCGAAGATACTGTTTTTCAAAGCGAGTCGACGGTGCCTGGAACGGGCTTCCCTAGGATGTGATAGTGGCGGATTCCTTGGAGATATTCGAGCAAAGACTAGATGTATATTTGATTGGAAGATACCGCTTGTCTGGACAGAAGAGCTCTGTTGCGCCAAACCAACGTCTTGCATACACCTACCGCTACTGCTGATGATTGTCATTTCATTTTGCCGTTATCATCTAAAACGCAATGTTCTCGAGTCTCGGTCCTGCATTTTCAACAGAAAATATTCTGACAACATTTTAGTACCATGTTTATTTAGAGCTGGATATTGCATGCACCGTTTTCAATAGGGTTTCCAAAAGCATTGCCTATTACCCTTAAAATATACTGACCTATCTGTGACGGCTGAGATTTGTTGTTTGTGCTAGTTCAAAAAATCGGCCAATTTGAGTGCACTTTCTACTCCTCTGACAAGGTTCAAGAGCATAATCATGTCCCCTCTGCACTGTATATAAGGAAAGGGAAAAGTTTTCGCCTTTCTAGCCGTTCCTCATAAAGTAGACTCTTCAAACTACCGACTAGATTAGTCGCTCGTTTTTGCACCTTCTCCAAGAGAGTGCAGTTTGTTTCATCCAGGGTCGCCATGCCTAAACACTATATACCAAAACTTCGTCAAAGTTAAAGAAGGATCTCCTGATCGCCCTCAGGATGCCCTTAGCCTTTTTTGCTCTTTTGGCGTAGTGAGACGGGGCTTGAGAGTTTACGTCATCGACACACCAAGGTCCTTTACCTAATTTTCAAGCTCGAATTCGTGCCTGCCAAGGAAATAGTGATGTTCAGGTACCAAATCCTTTCTGTAACTAGACCTTAGTCTGATGAATCGACATTCGCTGGAATTGAGGTTCAGAAGCCATTCATCACACCACTGTTGCAGTCTATCTAGGTTTTTTTTGCAAGTCTACCGCGTCCTCTGGCTTTTCAGTCTAACTTCACATTTTCAAAACATCGGCGAACATTACCTTCTTGCGAGTTAGGCAGTCTAGGAAATTGTTCACATATATCGAAAACAGAATAGGATTCAGGACGTTCACCTGTGGAGCACTGTTGTGAACGATTTCTCAATCCGATTTGGCATCACCAATGCACGCACGCTGACGTCGGCCTGCGATGAAGTCGGTCAACCACTTGAGACGATTGTCAGTCACACCCATATGGCTCAGTTTAGATATGAGCCGTCTGTGTGGCACCCTGTCGAACGTTTTGCTAAAGTCAATGTAAACTTCATTTACTGACAAACCCGTCTCTAGGACTCTATCTTTGAGTTTGTCCAAAACGTCGCCGACATCCCCCGGTAACCGTGGATACCTATTCAATAAAAAATTAATTCGTCCCTTGTGCAAGATCGGCCTGCCATATATTTAGTCCAAGATCAGGTTGTGGGGCAGGCAAACTGCTGACCTCGGGATATAATTATCAGTTTTGATCCGGATTTCTTCGTCCTATCCAGCCGCGCTAGTGTTATGCGACGTTATCACCCTATAGTTCGCGGACTCTGAAGAGAAGCAAGACGTTGGGGATGCCTTTATTACCGATGGACCTTCCAGGTCTCGTGTGGGCTACCAGAGGACATATGTGGGACCACACACATTCAAATTCAGGAAACCAACTGATCACAGATTTGACATCGCATGTGATACAAGGGGAGTTCCGTCTTCGCCTACTTCCAATGCATAATGACATCGATATTCTCTTCGGTACTTTCGTTGAAAAGGAAATGGAATTTTCAAAAGTGGGTCTTTCTTGATCGTCAAAATTCGCAGTTACCAGAGAGAGAGAGAGAGAGAGAGAGAGAGAGAGAGAGAGAGAGAGAGAGAGAGAGAGAAAGTCGCTTTATTTTGAAATCATAATTCAACATTTTCAGCAAAAAATTGGCTCCATTCACTATGGGCAGTAAATAAGCTAATAGATTATTCAGGAGTCAATGTTGAACACAGAAAAACGATAATTATGACGATAGTTCAACTCTTAGCTTCGCACGTAAGATAGCGTGCTAGGAATGGCAATACAGACGCTCGATAAGCCGATGTGCGACATGACATAAGTCGGTAGCTGCGGCGCATCGGGCGGGAAGACCTCGCAGAAATAAGATCAGGATGCAAGGGATGGGCAACGTCATCTATAATCTGACCAGCAAATTGCTTGACCGCACTGAAATGCCGTTGCAAGATAGTGTCAAATAAAAAAAGATAAACAAAAATAGTTTCCGTCGATGTAGTTGTTTGGCTTACTTTCCAGTTTTAAGTAACGTCTTTCGGTGTTTGTGCCGTTCGTTCCATCCGGGATGCTCTTATCTGGTCCAATGCCAACTTGTCTTATTACCGTACCCATAACAGGCTAAGTGCATCATTTCATCATTGCCTCTACCGTTTTCTTGACGTTCCCTTGCTATTATCCACTACACCAGGTCTCCACTGAATACCCTATAATATTTGGTTTGAGTATTAACCTCAAAAAGTCTTCTTAAAAATTTGACTCCAAGTCATCCGGTATTTGTTTTAACGCAGTGGATTTTTAAAGTTGGTGTTGGAGGCACTGGTGTATATAAGTTCGTCCCTGTGCGCTCTTCAGAGTATCCTAACGATGGGCGTTGAGAGCAATAAGGAGAATGAGGTAGGCCGTGGTGCCGCTGTCTGTGACAGTGTTGTACACTTTCCTGTCGGAGACTCCGTTTCGTCTACGCTCTGAGTTATCTTAACTTATTCAATCGTTGGATCGGTTCTACGAAAGCCTGCTGCCAGTTTTCATCCCCCCTCCCACTTTTGTTAATCATTTATATTTTCTTTAGGTCCAGAACACTGACCATTCAGTCCCACTAAAGAACCCGATTACCGATGAGCCGCTCCTGGTTCCAAACCCCAGGCGGTTCGTGATCATGCCCATACAATATCATGACATCTGGCAGTTCTACAAGAAAGCAGTGGCTTCTTTTTGGACCGTCGAAGAAGTTGACTTGGCGAAGGACTTGGGTGATTGGGAATCTTTAAAGGATGGCGAGAAGCACTTCATCTCATACGTTCTTGCATTTTTTGCCGCAAGCGACGGGATAGTCAACGAGAACCTTGTGGAACGTTTCAGTCAAGAAGTACAAGTCCCGGAAGCTCGTTGCTTCTATGGATTCCAAATTGCAATCGAAAATATTCACTCGGAGATGTATTCTCTCCTCATCGACACGTACATCAAGGATCCTATCGAACGGTACTTCCTCTAACTCTTATTTTATTTTTAGCGACTTTCTCTTTAACGCAGTACAAACCCTTCCATGTGTGAAAAAGAAGGCTGACTGGGCACTCAAGTGGATTGGTGACTCAAAATCCACGTTTCCAGAGCGCCTGGTAGCCTTTGCAGCCGTAGAGGGGGTTTTCTTTTCTGGGTCGTTTGCGTCCATCTTCTGGCTGAAGAAGCGTGGGCTTATGCCAGGGTTGACATTCAGCAATGAACTAATAAGCCGTGATGAGGGACTTCACACTGACTTTGCTTGTCTTCTGTTCCGACACATCAGAAACAAACCCTCTAAGGAGCGCGTAGAAGCGATTATGCGGGAAGCTGTTGATATCGAAGTGGAATTTCTGACTGACGCTCTTCCTGTGGACTTGATCGGCATGAACTGCCGTCTGATGGCCCAGTACATCCGTTATGTTGCCGATCGTCTCCTAACTGAGTTGGGCTTTGAAAAGGTGAGCTTCGGTCAACGCCGACTGTGCCTTTCTCATTGGACTGCCTATTAACCTGACTTGTTTTTCTCTCCAGATTTATCGTGCAGCGAATCCATTCGACTTCATGGAAAACATATCTCTAGAAGGGAAGACGAACTTCTTTGAGAAACGTGTTGGCGAATACCAGCGGGCCGCAGTTATGTCACGCGCCCGGGGCGAAGACACTCATACTTTTACCACAGATGAAGATTTCTAAACTGCATTTTCTTAACTGACAATATTATTTTTATACTATACTGTCTTTTCTTGTACACTTTCCGGACAGTTCTGCGACTGTTGTCCGTTTCCTCCGAGTTGGGTGTTGAGCATTTGTATGATCATAGCGGAAGCCAGCATAGTTGACGGCATGTAAGTTGTCACGCTCTTCGAGTTTTGCTACTTCCGAAGGGCATCGGCTGGACCAAATGCCTATCTGGGAGTATGGCCTATTAAACGGCAACTCTGACGAGTAGTGTTCCAGATCCCTCTTGTGATTTTGCGTTGTTAATTGTTACGCCCTCTCGATCCCCCAGTGGCTATTTGCCTTAGGGCTGCCCAACTAGGAATCATGGGCTGTGGTTCAGATTCCCATGGGCTTCGTGTTCACTCTGCGGACACCGGGTCGGAGAGGCGTCTGTGATTCTTCACGCCCCTAGGACTGTCGGCCAGTCAACCCCGGTTTACTTGTGGCACGGGTAACTGATTCCTGCCGCGCGGAGGTCGGCTCTTTACCGTGCGACTGAGCGGTTGCTGACTTCCGACATCCTGGTTTTGTTTCCCGTTCGCAGCCGATTTCTTGGCCCCCTGACGGACGGGTTGAGCGCATCCAAAGCTCCACTAACGTGCGCTGGAAGTATTCAGACTTGGGGTGTAGGATAGGGGTCCCAATTCAGGATTGGATAGGGAGGTAGTACCTTCCCATGGCTTGTGCCCTAAACCTGTTAATCTTTCCGTAATGGTTAGGCCGGTCTCCGCTTGACCCTCATAGTTTGCCATCTGACGAATCATTAGGTCTCGTGAGTCGGCTTCAGGCAATCGGTGGAGGTATGCGTGGAACCGTATCAGGACAGTCGGAATGTACGTCCATTGAGCAGTGCACTCCGGTGCTAACCTGCCAGTCCTTCAGTGGTACCGCCCTGTGTCGTCCGCCAGGCTGAGTCGTCCGTGATTTTCTTCCCTCCGAACCCAATCCCCGGCGTCTGACATCTTCAAAGCAACATGATGCAAAAGTGAGTCTGGGTACGTCTCCAGCCCTGCAGTAACGGTTGTCGCTTTCCGACCTCGCGTAGCTGTTACCTGTAGACACGCCGCGCTGGAAGGCAACGGTGCGGTAATTTTCTTCTGTAAAATCGGATCGTCGCAACTGCTATTAGGCCCAGTTGGTCTGTCGATATCAGGCTGAGTAACTACTCAATCGGGGGGTTCGCGCTTTAAACCTATGCAGCCTGTCCATGGGAGCATGCTTTGGGGGGCATTAACCCAGGAAGGCACTCTTTGAACACACCCACCCCCCGCTCACACATCTGTAAGGCTAACTTGCTTCGATCGACCAGGATTTTTACGGTCTCCTATCGGTTGGAATGAATGTGCGTAATACGTGGGAAACGTTATTCTAAAGTAGTTGTGGTTGATTCCTGTTTCACCTAACTGTCCGCATTTGCATCAGACGGTGACGGTCATAATCATTTCTTTGTAAAGGAAAAAAGGCAGTGGGCCACGTAATCAGGGACTGTGTCAGTACAGAAAGTAACTTAGCGTGAGAGCACATATTGTGTGAGCCCACCCTACCAGTGCACCTAACTAGATTGTCGTCTCAAAGGTGGGCGCAATTTACTGAGAGATCGGAGATAGCGGAGGCCGTGGAGGTGCGTGGATCGGAAGACGAAGAGTAACAGCGGAAAGGACAACTTAACTGCAACAGTTGCCATGCGTGAAGCCGCTTCTCAGGGCCTTTGTCCACAGCGTTTTTATTTGTCTTAACTTTGCTTCGTAACTAACCCGTCCCTATCGGTCGGCGTCTCAGTAAAAGCATGTTCAGACGTTCCCTCACGAATTGCGGGCGCTGGGAACTTGCATATTGCCAGAGGCACTGACAGAGACTTGTTCTTTGGAACAAGAAGTTTATTCGCCCGACATTTCGAAAAAGGCCATCGAACGCAATCGCTACGTGGCCGCGCGTCTAACTAACAGTCGCATTCATCATGGATGCCTATACTTCTACAACGTTTGCTTCGTCATCCGCCTCCGATGTATTAATCACGCAGTTCGATTACTAGTGTTGACTTTGGGCGTGATAACTACTCTATCATCCGACCCGCTGATCCTGTCATTGAAAGCAGCATAAGACAGTCGAATACATAGAGGAAGGGGGTCTCTCCGTTTAGTTATGAACAACGAATTAACAGCTCGTGCTTCACATAGTTATCATTTCACACAAGAATTTCCGGCCTCACTGAAGTTGAAAATATGGTCGGGTCTCTATGGGGTAATGAGATTACAGTCGTTACGTAGGAGAACGATAATCAACGCAACATACAGGAACAAATTCCGCAAATTTCCAGTCCCAACTTTATTCGGAAACGACAAACTGGCGTCAAACCCCCTTCCGCATGTGAACTCAGGGCTAGTGGTGTTCTCGTTGTCAGACAACTGACGATATTTGAGAAGTCTCGAGCCACTGAAATCGCCTAAGGATACTCTGTCATCGAAGCACGTGGCCAGTCGTTCACATTCGTCAACCTGCACTTGTAAAAACCTGAGGAGATCAAGCCACCTAGATTCCAAGTTCTGGAGAACTTTCTCGTACTGCAAAAACGTCTCGGAAGACGTCAGCGACCTTCTCATACCACTCCAGGTTGAGGTTGCAAACATAGAGGAGGAGACCATCGGGCTCCAAGTAATGATGTCGGAACATCCGCTGACACAGTCGGCAACTTCTGGGGCCGTTTATCGGATCTGGTGCACTTGTGGACAAGGCAACTACATCGGTGGGGACTGAGTGATTACTCTGAATGCGAATAGACGAACATGCAGCAGCAGCAGCAGCAATGATGAGGCCACTGCCCGTTCGACGTGAAGTGAGATCGAGTTTTTCGCGGAAGGTGACAACCTCGCGGGCCGCGAACCGCTCGAGTCATGGCTTTACGGCCCTCAGTCGATTAATAAGCACAATGAATTCCCCCCTCCCATATTCCGTGATAAGCTTGCCTAGGCAGGTTAGCCAGCCACGCACGGACAAAATCTGTTACCGGTACCAGTATCGGTGGGTTAACTTACCCGAAAACTCATTGGATTTCGTGCATTTGCGGATCAAGCTGGTGAAAGCGGAATATTTTACTGGACAGAGGTGACTAAAGACGCGTAAGTAGCAAGCAGAAAAGACGTCAACTCTCAAGTTGCGGCTTACTTAATGGAATCCGGCCACAACTCCGACTTCGTTGAGACCCGAATTCTCGTGAGAAGTAACAGCTGCGTTTATTCGCCCGAAATTTCGGAAAAGGTCATCGAACGCAATCGCTACGTGGCCACGCGTCTAATTAACAGTCACATTCATCATGGATGCCTATACTTTTGCAACGTTTGCTTCGTCATCCACCTTCGAGCTATTAATTACGCCGTTCGATTACTAATGTTGACTTTGGGCTTGATGACTGCTCGATCATCCGACCCGATGATCCTGTCATTGAAATCAGCGTTAGGGAGCTGAATACATGGAGGAGGGGGGGGAGGTCACTCCGCTTAGTTATGAACAACGAATCAACAGCTCGTGCTTCACACAGTTATCATTTCACACGAGAATTTCCGGCCTCACTGAAGTTGAAAATATGGTGGGCCTCCATGAAGTAATGAGATGACAGTCGTTACGTAGGGGAACGACAATTAGCGCGACATCCAGGAACAAATCCCGCCAGTTTCCAGACCCAACGTTATTCGAAAACGACAAACTGGCATCAAACCCCCTTCCGCGTGTGAACTCACGGCTCGTAATGTTCTCGTTGTCAGACAACTGACGATATTTGAGAAGTATCGAGCCACCGCAAACGCAATCGCCTAAGGATACTCCGTCATCGAGGCACGTGGCCAGTCGTTCACTTTCGTGAACCTGCGCATGCAAAAACCTGAGGAGACCATGCCACTTTTATTCCAAGTTCTGGAGAACTTTCCCGTACGTCAAAAACGTCACGGAAGACGTCAGCGACCTTCTCATACCACTCCAGGTTGAGGTTGCAAGCATAGAGGAGGAGACTATCGGGCTCCAAGTAATGATGTCGGAACATCCGCTGACACAGTAGGCAACTTCTGGGGTCGTTTATCGGATCCGGTGCACTTGTGGACAAGACTGATTACTCTGAATGCGAATGGCCGAACATGCAGCAGCAGCAGCAGTGATGAGGCCACTGCCCGTTCGACGTGAAGTGAGATCGAGATTCTCGCGGAAGGTGACAACCTCGCGGGCCGCGAACCGCTCGAGTCATGGCTTTACGGCCTTCAATCGATTACTAAGCACAATGAACTCCCCCCCCCTCCCATATTCCGTGATAAGCTTGCCTAGGCAGGTTAGCCAGCCACGCACGGACAAAATCTGTTACCGGTACCAGTATCGGTGTGTTAAATTACCCGAAAACTCATTGGATTTCGTGCATTTGCGGATCAAGCTGGTGAAAGCGGAATATTTTACTGGACAGAGGTGACTAAAGACGCATAAGTAGCAAGCAGAAAAGACATTAACTCTCAAGTTGCGGCTTACTTATCGGAATCCGGCCACAACTCCGACTTCGTTGAGACCCGAATTCTCGTGAGAAGTAACAGCAGCGTGAAACGCCAGCTGTTTACTGACCTGCAACTCATCACTAAACGCAGCGGCCTCTCCGCTCCATGCATTCAAAACCGAGATTTTGCCTGAGCAGAGTAATAAGTCATGCGAAGAGCACGAGGTCCAACGGCGGTCCCAACAAAAGTATCGGCTGGCCGGGTGATCGAACAGAACTCAAGTCAATAATCAACACTCATTACAAAACTGCGATGGTCGATGACTCGTCATCGCACCAGTGATAAATGCGCAAGCTGTGTGTCTGTGTGAGCGTTGAGTCCCGAAAATGGACCAACCGAGAGACTCGCTGGACAACACCAACATTAGATAGAACTCCGGCAGGCGTTACTGAGAATATATATCCATAATAAATGCCAACATTAGGGACCTTACGACAGTTGCAAGCC